CTTAAGATGTGTTTCTTTGACTAAAGGTAAGAATCACATCACTGTAAAAGCACCAAAGCAAATGTTGTAAGTAAATTTGCTGGTATCAGTTCAGAACAATTGTGAAGATTACAAAAGATATTTGATTGCTTTTCTTATAAGGTGTCTCAAAAGAGACTCCTTAATGTTGCATGGCACTTGTAATGATACATTGAGCATGTTAAGAGGTAAAATCATCTGGAGTGCCCGCAAAAAGAGGGGATTTTTTTTAAATGTATGCACTGACACTGAGAAGGACCACACACCCATCTCAGATGTGAAACATTAACTGGTGACGTGTTGTTTGTGTCAGGTGGTGTGTGTTGGGGCATACAGTGTGAGGATTGTCAGTGTCTGACACCCACTCAAAATGAAGACTAACCTTATCTCAGATTCATCGGTCAAGATCGAGGCATCTTAGGTCAGCTCTGCATAGTCTGGTTCCCTGGGATATAAGAACTCAGAGTGGAAAAACACACCTGTTGAAGAGAGCAAAAATCTGATCAGAAATGTCACAAATAATTTTATTCCTACTGCTGCTGCTTGACTGTGCAATTTCTTAGAATAGTATGCAAGTCAGGGCATGACTGAGGTATCTAAGTGTCAGACTGTAGTTTTGATTCTATCTGTCACTAGGTTTATCCCAAGGTGGCCAGATAGCAAGCTGCCCATTTTTAAGATCATGTGTTTAATATATGGCTGACCAAACATTTTTTTATTAAAAGCTAAAATAGATAATAAGTTTCCCTTAAGGGATTTTATTAATATCTGACTATCTCTTTATCTCTCTAAAGGAAAATACCTGAGTGCCAACTACTCCTTCTGTGATTTCTTTTACTCTGTATCAAAGTGAAACACAGATGCACTGCATTTTAAAGTTTATCTAGCGTATCGCAGATACTCTTGTTTAACTCCTGACAACAATAAATCCCTTTAGGTTTAAGTTTTTCTCTAGCATTCTGACTGAGTTATAGTCAAAGTGCATGAAACAAACACTAGTTTATGCAGTTGCTGTTGTCCTAGAACATGAAATTGTCAAAGAAACAGTTAAAGGAAAACAAAAAACATTTTTGACCAAGTTTTAGATATATTTAAAACATTATAATCTTGTGCTGTTGTACTAAAACGCAGTTGTCTATACATTACCCAAGATGCTTTTTGTCCACATAAGACCCATTGTAATTTAGTCATTACTTGTTTAATCAGTAACCAATTGACTTGAAAACATACTGTTGTCACAAACCTTTTCTTGTGGTCTTTTGAAGACCATCACAGCTTATGTCAGCACCTAGGCTTTGTTATAGCCCATTACATATGAAGCATGTGGACACATTTGAATGAATCACTAAAGTCTTGGCAGAATCTTTTTATGACCTTCAGTGATTCAAGTGTCTACCTTTACAGCTCTAACATGACAAATACTTAAAAGATGGGAATTTCTTTTTATGGTGACCTTTTCACTTTCCTTCATTTCCCCGGTAGTGTACTTCTTTTTTTTTTAAGGTGAGCTTCTACACATCTGTTGGTTTTTAATCACTAGATGTAAGATATGTTAAAGACGAAGACACTCAGAAGGTTGGAAGAGGAGTGGAGGGCAGTGGCAATCTAGAAAGGGTTAGAATATATACAGCGTTGGGGGAGGAAGTTGTGAGAGCAGAGTGTGGACGAACACACAATCTCCATGGCAACGGTTTGATCCCTCTCTCTGTGGCTGTCAGGCCCTGCAGCGCTCGTGGTGACAGAGTGGACAGGTCGTGCTGATGGCCAGAGGTGGGGAGAGGAGCTGTGGGGGCGGGGTGGGGCGGGGGGGTCTTAGCCTGGATCAGAGATAGTGGCCAGTGCCTTTCTATATATATGCCCCCTCTCAATCTCGCTCTCTCTCTTTCTCTCTCTGTCTGCCATCTGCAGACCCCAAGAGCCGCTTTGATTGGATTAGTCATGAATTAATGAGACAGGCTTGAAGAACAGCCTCTCTTGTGGAAATCTCTTATCATATCTTAATCCACTTTGTGAGCGTGTGCCTGTGTGATCTCAGAACTTTTGTGTTGAAAATATATTCAACTCAATGAATCCTCTAATTAGGAACGACATGTATGTAAGAGCCACAGCAGAGACCTGTTGCTCTTCCACAGAGCGCACAGACACACACACACACACTGGTTTGTGCAGCTATTCTTGTTAGGATTCAGCATCGACTTGTGTGTTAATTTGTGCAACCTGTTCAGATCCTTAGCCAATCCAATTACAAATCATTTGCCTAAACATGACATTGACCTAAGTACAATTTATATTTTCATACTCAATTTGACAGGAGCCTCGAGTAGAAGACTTTCTTCATTAGAATCAGATTTTTTTTCCCTGTAGAGATTGGCGTATGAAATCATCCTTAGCAGCACGAATATATGAGAATACACACATAGTGCCATCATTTTTTATGTTTCCAGTGTGTTTTTAGAAATGTGTCACCCACTTTAAGCATTTTTACATTCTGCTCTTCAACTTGCCTTTGAGTGTGTTGTTTTTGGGGAGCATGGATAAAAAGCAGCTTAAAAGAATGGACTGTTGTCTTCCTGATGACTTAAACATTCGTCCTCCTTTTTACCACAAACTAGTTACAAAAACAGACCACTCTGTCCTTTCCTTTTAGGTTAGAACTGCTACAAACTCTGTACATTTCTGTAGAACCACAGCACAACCTCCAAATCTCCTGCTGTATGAAATTAATAGTTTTTCACAGTATAAATTGTAAGTTCTAACTAAGTATTAGATAGGAGAGATCAGGTGGGGGGATGGCATTGTTTGGTTTGGGAAGTATTCTGTTGGTTGCATGGCAACAGGCTCCTGGGAGTGGACGGTGTTGCCACTGGCAACCGTTGTTGCTCTGCAAACAATGTGGGCCAGTGCAAACATGAGCCAAGACTGTGGGCTCCTGCTTTTAATTGAACATCTGTATGTGTTTTCTCTGATTTAAGTTGAAACTGTCAGATGTTTAAATCCCGTCTGCTCTATTAACATTAAAGAGTCTTGTATTAATGAGTGGTTTTGGGGACTTAAAGGGTTTGTGTTAAAGTGTCTGTTCCTGTGTTTTTACAGTCTCCAAAGCTTGTGAACTGTAACTGTTGAGAGCAAGGATTGTTTTTGAAATCTTAAATGTTTTTGGAATTTTCTAGAGTAAAAGCAGGACACATAGAACGGACATAAAAACATGCATAAAGTTGACATTTTCCTAAACAGCAGTCTTTTCTGAGCAGCGTTTGTTGAAGCGTTTTCTGTATCTCCTGCCTTTTTCTGCTTCTGTGTTCTAAGACATCTTTTATCTTCTTGCATCAAGTAAAATTATGGTCTCTCTTTGACTCCTTTCTGTTTATCTGTTTAATTTGCACTGACTCAGAAATATCACCATACTTATTATCTGTGTTTTGTTTTTTTTAAAGACTGAAAACATAAAGGTCAAGGCTGTTGTTCTTGATCCCTCACCATCTTGTACTCCTGCCTACTTTTAATTACACAGAAAGCCCACAGTGCAGTGTGACTTCCTCTGGAAAAAAAATGACAAGTAGAAAGATGAATAATGTAATTGTTACAGGTGTATTTATAACTGAACTGACACTCCACAAACAAATTCCTAGCTTAAGAAAGGTGCATGACAATCCCAACAGCCTTTATGAATGTTTGCCTCTTGTTAGCATTACTGTGATAATGCTCATGTGGAATTTAAAGAACACACAAGAAAGACATGTGAGGACAAGTTATATTATGGATGTCTTTACGCCTAAGTGCTAATTGTGGCTTAAAGAAATGCACAGAGGATGGATCCTGGCAGAGGACCTAACTGTGTGTGTTTGAAGATTGACAAATATCAGGAATTATCATCACAGACTCCTCCACCCAAGCTGCCCGCACTAATGTGGGCAGAGTTTTGCTTTCTTGTGGCAAAATCATTCCACATGGAAAATACCACAGGTGGCACACCCAAACCTTGCGAGATGTAAACCTGAGGTTTGTTGACCTGATGTCTTTTGTAGCTTATTTTTTAATACTGGGTGAACGGACCACATGTTTTGTCTGCTGCTTCTCGAACTCCAGCAGATTCTCCTGCTGTTGTGATGAATCTCACCCAGACAATCTCCTGCTGTGTTCCTTGAATGTGAACGGAAAACACTGGAGAATCCCACCAACCAAATCTCATGACATCAGCTGGGTGTCATGTCTGACACTTACAACCACAGCTTGTATTTTTCTTGTACAGATTGTCTTAAACATATATAGTTTAGTTTATTAAGTACCTTAACTCAAGCTGTCAGACTTACAAGCATCTTTAAAGGCTATAACATCAAAAGTCTAATGCAGCTGTAAAGCCCTGGTCCAGTTGAAAAAGCTGATACAATATGTTTTGTACCATATGTCGTATCTGTCCTATTTCTAAACTCGATTAAAACAAGAACTACATAATATGTTTCCTTTTAGAATGGTATCTGTACACCCAATTGTAGAAGAAAATGCCCCACCCTTGCCTGTTGATGGCCAATCATTTGCCCATCATTGGTTTCCACACTGGTTTAGTAAAGTCTTTGAAAAATCTCCAGTTTACTGGTTTATTTTGTTTTGGTGTTTTGCTTAAACATTAATGTTAACTGTTCTTTTTTTATCTTAGTTTTCACTTGTACTTTGGGTAGGACTGATAATTTACTTTGAAGAATTAAAAATATCATGTACAGTATGTCTTTGGCACCTCTGGCTGAAATTACTGAAAAATGACTGTTTACTATTTCTGAGCTGAAGTAATAAATGCTGTAAAGATCATAAGGGAGTTTGTTCAATCTAAATCCTACCAGTGGAAAAAGATTAGTCACGGATGTAAGGGATGTTTTGGATCTTGTTTTAACCTGTGATGGCTGCATTTTGTTACATTTCGAGGTGGCATTTTAAGTCTCTGTGTGATTTAGTGGAATTATCTTGTTATATCACGGCCTAAAAATATTCTGCAACCGTAGGACATAACATTTATGTTAGAGCTGCAACTGGGTTACATTTATTTTCCATTTCTTGTCATCTCCAGCAATCTTCCTGGACTTTGTTTTTGTTGTGGCCGCAAAGCTTTTGTCTCCTCTTAAACAAAGTGCTAAATTAGTTTCCATCACTGCTTCTCCTGTTGTGTCCGAGTTCAATCTGTTGCTCAGTAAAGGGCGCACTTTTCAATTTACTGATAAAATACAGCGAGCATTTACAGTCACTTAGTCTGAGTGAGTGCATCTTTTTAATGCAGATGTGACAGAATCAGTGAGTGCAAACAGCGAAAACACTGGTGTAATTGTTTTTGTTGTGCAGCTAGAGTCATGTTGGCTGCACCTGTTGCTCGTAGCCGAGTGTGCACACTGCTGCAGCCTCAGCGCTATCTGTTAGGTCTTTTCCAGTAAATTAAAATAACACTGTAGTCTGTCATATGTGTTGACTAACACGATGCAGCAAGGCTTAAGTCAGTTGTGTCTTGCTGCCTTTGCGCTTCTGTGAACACGTTCTCCTCTCTGCCTACTCACTTTTCCAGCTCCTCCTGTATTTCTGCCTTTAACCAAAGACTGTTTATCGATTCAACCCCCTCCCCTCCCCAACTATGCTGTATCTCCCATATTCTAATCCTCCTCCCTCCCCCTCTCCTTTTTGTGGTCGCACTCGAAAAAGTTCCTGTGCAAAAGCTTTACAAAGGGGTTGGAAGGGGAGGAGGGTATTGCAGAGAGTGAATGGGGTACAAGGTTTGAGTTGGGGGTGGTTGTCATGGATACCTCACCATGGCAACCGACAAACGTTTACAAAGCATTGAGGAATTTCCTCATATCAGCTGGATTATTGGAGCCCTCAGTGAAACTGTTCTCGCTAGAATCTAACACTGGATATCATCAGGACCCTGGCAGGGCTGGAGCCCCACCACCGTTTTCATTCCTCTCTCCTTGCAGTTATTGCTTTCAGATCTGGATGGAAAAGTTTTTTTTTTTTTTTTTTTTTGTTCTTCCTCTATTCTCCTCTGGGTCTGCCTTACTCCTGCTCATTACCCCTCTTGTCCTTTTCCTCTTTTAAGAAAGCCTTTTTGTCACTCCAATTTTAGCTCCCCTTTGCTATGCTGTGCACATTGTCACCCAGTGGAAAGGCCAGCAGCAGTAGTGGGTTTGGCCCTCATGAAGTAACGTTGAAGTCCTTCACTGTTAATTTTTTTTACCAGGATCTGGTCAGTTTTAACTACAGAAAAAAGTTCATTTCTGTCTGAAAGTGTGTTACTGTTTATTTTGCCATGGATGTGCACCAAAGGTGGGCAGTCTCTGAAGTTTTGACAGTGACTCAGCTTAAATTAACAAGCAAAACCCCACTCAGGGCCCAGTAATTACTCTGGTGTCTTCACTAGAGAGGGGTGGGGTAACAGCTTCTGTGTTATGAATTACTATCCCAGTGCATAGGCATTGAAAACTCAAATGATTTCCAATCATTTACCTGTATTTTCTTTTGCCTGGCCTAAACTTCTCGTCTTCCTTTTCTTGCCCATGTCTCCTTAACCAATCCAGCATGCAGAGCTCAGAGGGAGGGTCAGAAAGTACGACCAGCGTGGCGGCGCTGCGGACGTCATCAACCCAGGCTCCTGTGGTACAGCCTGTCCCAGCCTCCCAGCAGGTAGGGCCGTAACCTCTGTCCTGCTGATGCTCTAATGACAGGAAAAAGGGACAAAATCACTCATCGTGTTTGCATGCACGTTGAGGACTAGTCACAATTGTGGCTTGTCTTCCAGTTTGATTAGGTTTGTCCTAGTACACATGCATAAGAAACATTGTTTTACAGAAGAAGGTTGTACTCCACGTTGAAAAGTTCCAATAATTCACGATTGTAAATAGGCATCTAAACTGTCTTACAGGTAAAATATGTCCTTTATTGTTATTACATTAGTTTAGCATAGATGACAGCATGGGCTGTGAAAGCTCAATACATGAAAGTTTAGGTCTTGGCCTTCAAACATCATTTTCAAATTTCCTGTAATACTTTTTAAGTCAGGCTAACACATTAACATGTATTTCAGTCAGATAAGCATAGAAGTCCAGTTATGCTAACACATTTACTGGTACCCGTAACAATCTCTAGACCAGAGTCCAGGGACCTTCTATTTGTATCAGTGCTTAAGCACAGGACAATATCTACAGGATGTACTTATGGTCAAATTTCCATTCTAGTGCAGTAACTAGCTTATACGATGTCAGCAACCTTTTCATTTTTCCTGCAGTTCCCTGGGCCCAAGGCCAATCCAGCAGGAAGGGTTCCTTCCTTTTCTTTTATTTTTTAGGCTCGAGCAAAAAGAATTTTTTTTAAATAAACCCAGTACATTAGCAAACTAAATTTCTCTTCTGTGACTGCAAAAAAAAACAAAAACAGTTAACCACTGACAGATGCAAAAAGGTATTACTATAATATTTTTAAGTTATGTTTTCCAATTCCTGTCTATCACAATCATCACAAATGTTTCTGCCTGCCCAGAGATGAGGCTTGGGGGGGGGGGGGGGGGGGGGGGGGGGGGGCAGGGATTTGCTCATATATCTGCTAATGATGTGTTGACTTTGTGTTCACAGTCATCTGTGTGTGATCGCACTTGCATACCTATGTAAATGAGTTATGTCTTGTATCCACGCAGAGGGTGCTGGTTCAAGCCTCAGGCTCAGCTCAGAAGGGAGGAGAAGTACAGCAGCTTTCAGTTCCCAGGGTTCAACAGGTTCCTCAGCAGCAGGTACACAGTGCTGTACATACATATACAGTGCTGTGAGAACATGTCAATCCCTTCAAATATCATACATTTGTAATATGAATGGGATAGTGACTGAGTCTGAGACATTAAGAGGTTTCCAACCGCAGAGATACATGGTGGATATTCTCATGGAAATACCTGTTTTGTAATGAGTGGTCAGTGGTTGTGGTTGTGGTCTTTGACTGACATGTATAAAAACAATGTCTACGTCTGATTTACATGTGTAAACAACTCTGTGACACTGAAATATTAACGACGACAGTCTGACAGCGTCAAACCTGCTCCTACCTGCATCTTCATTTATCTTCTAACTCACTGTTATTATAATTGCCTGCCACGTCAACACTTCACAGTCTGCTTAAATCGTACTTAAGTGGTCAAGTTTGTCACAGAATGTGATTGGTAATGACCCTAAATGATTGCTGCTATCACACAGAATGTATGAGGCTTTCAGCAGCGTCGGCTGCCCATCTGTTTCACTGACAGCTGCTCATCCAGAGGTGAAGTGTTTCTCCTGCTTCCTGTGCCCCTCGCTGTGTCTTTCCCTGGCTGAGCCTGGGCCACTTGCCTGCCTGCTTGCTTGCATATCTGAGTGACCTAAATATAGTATCTTTTTGAAATTGTGCATGACACCGGTCTTCTCAGAGGCTTTGGGTAGAATGTGACCTTGCTGCAAACATTTGTGATGCTCCTGGGGGCTTGAACCAAATCCCAACTCTAAATCACTGTAATGTGTAGTGTCTAATGGTGGAAACTGGCATCCGAGCTGACAGGGTGACAGCAGATGGGGAGTTATTGGAACAATGGTGGTTTTATCTTGGTCTGTTTTTCACTTTTAAATACCATCAATTCAGTCCATGTGTTTTTGCTTTTCCAGGGAAGAACTACAGTTTACCCTTTTCACTGGAAGATGGATTTCTAGTCCCATCTGAATATTAGGACTTTATGTACATTTTTATTCAAATATAGCAGGTACAATACAGCAAGTGCATTCATTTTAGAAAAATCATTATATTAAATTATTAAGCTTAATCAGTAGATTCTTTGATGCTTTTGCGTCTGGTACATTATGTTTTGACCAACCCATATTGGTATGATTATATTTACCTACCAGTGCAGTATTTACCTCCTGAAGCAGAGCAGTGACTCCAGATAGAGACTCAGAAGATAAATGTGATTTGTTTATTTTCAAGTCCATTTTCTGTGTCCCTCTTTAATACTTGTGTTATTTGTTTGTAGGTGCAGCCAGTGCAGCATGTTTATCCTTCCCAGGTTCAATATGTAGGAGAAAGTGGGGAGACTGTTTACCCCAATGGAACCATGTAAGTCATCTTTAGATTCACTTTTATTATGTCTCTCACTTTATATATGTTTTGTACGTGGTTTTAGAAGAACATTTACTGGCATTTCTTTCTCTTTTACATTATATTGACAAGTGGTAGTAAGCGAAGTAAGGATATTTGGCTACTGAAAAGCTTTCATCCTAAATTAAGATTTTTAAATACTGACATTTATGGTTGCCAAAAAGAAGTTCAGAAAGGTTTTTTAAACAAAGGTCAAATATTTTATTATATTTAGTCAAGAGGTCGGAATAAGAAAAAGAAAATCCTCACAAAAAATTCCAGACTTTTTATAGACACTAATGAAAACCTTGCACATTCAGTATTTTAGATATTTTTTCAGATGTCATATTTGGAACTCCATATTCTTTTGCCTAGTGTAGAACATTTTACCTTAGTGTGGATTTAGAAGTCAGGCCGAGCTCCATGGGCCATATGTGGGCTCAACAGCTCTAGGGTCTTCATTCCTGTAGTGAAACACACACATGCACTGATATTAGTTTCTGGAAATTTGCCTTATGTGAATCTTTTTACAAACCTCCTGTGTAAGTTGTAGGGCACATTGTTACTGTGTATTTTTCTCACCTTTGCTCCACAGTCGATCAGCCTACTCCTACAACCCTGAGGCTCAGCTGTACGGACAAAACAGCGGGGGAAACTACTTTGACTCACAGGCCAGTGGCACTCACGCCACCACGGTGGTTTCCTCTGCCAGTGGTGGGGTGCCCTCACACAGCATGGTGGGAATTGCCATGGACGTGGGCACCAGCCACATCATCTCCAGTGGAAGTACTTACCTGATCCACGGAGGAAACATGGAGGGAAGTCGCAACCACATCTCACACTCGTCGCGCTCCTCATCAGCTATGGTGAGCTAGCTTTCACATGTTTTTTAGCAGTGCTCCAAGTTGTGCACATTTATGTTATGTAGAAACACTGAGGAGTTTGCAAATGTTCTGCAAGTTGGAAGTGGATCCCCTCAAGTTGAACTACATAATGATCATCACTGCCTTCAGTGCTGTACAGTCATGTTAAAGTAAAACTACTGAGGCCCCATCCTGACTGAGCCAGCATCAGAATCAGCAGGTAAAGGGAGGGAGAGAGAGGGACACAGGCTTAACCTGGCTGTGCAGTAGGACTCAGAGCTCAGAGCAGTAAAGGACAGAGAGCTCGTAGAATCAGGACGCTGCCTTCAATAATTCAGCGCTGCCTTGTTTCAGAGGTTTTCACAGGCACTTGAGCATCCTGCAAAACAAAGCAACCCCTGGGGCTCATTACCATTTGGCCAGGAGCCCTCTGAAGCCTTCTTAAGGCTTGGAATGCTGCCTGCTTCTTTTTCCCTTTTTCTTCTGCGTCTCCAGTGTGGCTGCAATAGCTCCTATCTCTGCATTTGAGCTCCAGCTTGATTTTCCTGTACAAATTAACACTTTGTCCCTGGTTTGGTCATTAGCTCTGCCCGGCACCAGCTGGACTCCATTTTTTTGACAGAATAAGTCAGTGTTATTGTTATTGTATCTCCATTTCAGATGGAGGGGCATTGTTGACCTATTGTCCCAGAGCCTACTGTGACCTGTGGCCCTGTTTGTGGTTCCTATTTGCATACATTAGCGTGTCTGACTGCAAGTCTTCACTGAGCAGCTTAACCCTATAAGTCCCTTGATTTGCATGCTTTTGTCAACCAGTAATGGATTTGGCTTCAACACTGACTGTTTTTAATGGAAATGCTGAGATCTGGCTGCTGGCTAACAGTCTTATTTACGTTTGTTGTTTTTATTTTTAAAATCTCTTCTCTTCCTCTGTATCTCCTATTCTTTTGCCTCCTGTCCCCTTCTGTGTCCACTGTTATTTTATTTTATTTATTTTTTGCATGCTTCTTTCTTTAGCTTGAAATGGCGATTGAAAACCTCCAAAAGTCTGAAGGAATTGCAAGTCACAAAAGCAGCCTGCTCAACAGCCATGTAAGTCAACCAGGAACTTCCTTTAAAAAAAAAAAAACAAGGGTATGAGAAAACCTTTTAAAAAAGAAAAAAGAAACTTGTGGCTGATCCTAGAGGTAGTGTGTTTTCCTGTCCTGCTCAGTAGAACACAGTACCTCCTGCTGTCTCTGCACTCTCTTACTGATACTTTTTTTTTTTAAATTTCTTCGGTTCAATTTGAACTTACATTTGCAAATCAGATTTATGTCTCTCCTATTTGTATAATTTCCCCACTAATATAAAAAAAAGACATGCATGCTCGCACTGACCTTTGCAAACGTAGTGCACATTCACGCAGACCTGTTGCCCCTGCAGTTAAAACATCACAACTGCTTAACATAGACTGTACAAGAAATAGACAGAGTCACTGAAGCCCTGGATGAAGATTGTAGGTCCTCTGCTGGTCTCAGAAGTAACTGTACATATGAGAGGTGAAGGCTGTTTCCACTTCATCTGTAACAAGAGTCAAAGTGTCAAATGTCAGTTGTGATGATGTGAAATGTATAAATGAAGGTCCTGTAGAAAGCAAACACTCGTAATGCACAAAGGTAAAGGTTACATTTACGAGTCTCTTCCCCCAGCTCTATAACGGGACTTTTTTTAATAATGCGTTAAAATGGGTTACAGCTTAAAATAGACTTACTAGAGTTACTTCTTGACACCAATAATAATAATACACAGTTAAGGACCAGAAACTCCAGTTAAAAACACTCAGCTCATCAATGATTAGAAATTCACACACCCACCCTGAAGGGGTTTTTTTTTTCAAAAAAGTGTTTACAGACAGATGTCTGTGTGAATGATGCCTGACTCTCACTCTTCTTACGATGCTGTCGCTTGATTATGATTGCACTGAAATTCTAACCTGTCACGCTTGAGAAATGTGCATTGTACAGATGCATTCCCCTCTAAACCGCAGCTCTTAACCTCTGCTGGGGTCTCACAAAGTCAACGACCATCTTGATTAGAGTTTGAAGCACCTGCTCCAAATTCGATTGACAAAATGGCCGTAGGAGCCTTCTATGCGGATATTTCTGATTGTGACGGTGGAGGCAGAGCCATGACTGTGTCCTCCTCATTAGGGTTTGTCAGAATAAACTGTTGTTCAGATGTTTTGAGTGTGCACTTAATCAACCATTTCTCATGCTGCGGTGTCTCACTGCCTCATTAAAGAATAGGAGAACCAAGCAACGGGCTGGGAAAGCAGTGATTAATATAGAGTTGTTCCTCCTAAAGCCATGGTTATGAGACCTGTTCGTCCATCTTTTGATGTGATAATAAGATCATGGACCGCTCCTCTCCATTACTGTCCGGGCGACTGTCATAGAACAGATTTTTTTTTCATCACTAATTGTGTGACTGTGGCCTCTGTTGTTGTATTTTTAGCTTCAGTGGCTCCTGGACAACTATGAGACAGCAGAGGGAGTCAGTCTGCCCCGCTGCTCCCTCTATAACCACTACTTGCGACACTGTCAGGAGCAGAAACTGGATCCGGTCAACGCAGCTTCCTTCGGCAAGCTCATCCGCTCCGTCTTCATGGGCTTGAGGACTCGCCGCCTTGGCACCAGGTACGGATGGGGTAGAACTTGTTGCCAGTGTTGAAGATGCAGATAACTGTAATCATGTCACCATTACAGATGTGATGAATATGATGATACTTATAGGCACCGGAGATCTGCTGATGAAAGAGGATAATGATAGTAATTAAAATGAAGTTTCTTCCTACTCATTGGTACTTTTTTGTTTTTTTTTCTTTTTTTTTCCCAATCACTGAATCTATCAGAGGCAACTCTAAGTACCATTACTACGGCATCAGGGTGAAGCCAGACTCACCACTGAATCGTCTGCAGGAGGACACGCAGTACATGGCCATGAGGCAGCAACCGGTCCATCAGAAGCAGAGGTCAGGACTCTCCTTTTCTTTTCTATAAGAAATGCCTAAAAATATGTGGCTTTTATTCACCCTTCAACAATTCATCAATGTTTTCTTCCTTGAAATGATGAGTAACATCAGACTGCTGCCTGACTTTCAGCCCTTTCTCTGATATTCACCCTGTCCTCCGTCTGCAGGTTTAAGCCCCTACAGAAGGTGGACGGTATGTCTGACAGCCTGTGTGGAAGCTCTCAGAACTGTAACAGCACTCCAGAGCAGTCTGTGGCTGCTCAGAGCCAACACCACCAGCAGTACATAGGTAAAGATGGTAACACCACCACCTTCAACATCATTCCTGTTCGTTGTCTTATCTGTGCCGTGGTTTTCCATCAGTGCAACAAAACCACGATTGCGCTGTAACATAGAGCAAAAATTAATCTATCATATACATTTCATCAACAGGACATTTTGTTTTATGTGGACAGTAAGACAGTAAAGTTCCATGTAAAGAGTGACACCTGTCTAATATTTCTGCAGACACATCTCACACTTTGCCTCCATTCCCCTCTCCTGACTTGGGCACTCAGCTGTTGCCTGAGCGCATCAACATGAATGATGTCAAAAAGCTGCAGACGCTCTACAGGGACCACTGTGAGGTGGGTCACATCACTTTGGTTCAGCTTTTTCTTCTTTAGTAATTCTATCTGCTCACCTGACAGTTTTACATTTAAGTGCAGGAACGAGCTGCTCACACCCCGACCTGCAGCAGAGCTCACATCCTATGATAAACATCTTGCTCATAAACACAGCATGTAGCTCTGTCTCACAGGAAAACAATAAACATCTTGCTCATAAACACAGCATCATAAACACTCCCCATCACAATTAAACGGTATGTTTCATAATGAGATTCATAACTGACTGGAGCCTTCGGTGAATCCCACACAAATTAGGACGATGGAATAATGAATGATATTGGTTTTTTAGCACAGATTAAACTATTATGACTCTGATAATGGATTGTGCTTTAGAAAGAAGACTTAATTATCTGGTACTGAACAGTCGTCCTGCTGATGGATGGATACCTTCCTCATATCGCTGCTGCCTGTGGTTGAAAACCTTCAGCCCGACAGTCCTACGACATTATGGTGTAGTACAGCAGCAGTACGCCGTCCTTTTAACAGGATCGTAACTGTCACTGACATCTTTAGCCCTGTAACCATAGTAACAACAAACGGGGGGTTGGTTCGTCTCTAGTCAATTTACTCGTAAATACAAATCTTTGAAGATTTGTAACTTTGAAGAAACGTAATCTCAGACGTATAAAACACGTGTCCACAGCATTGTTAATTATGTCACTGGGAGTCATTTGTTAATCAGCAGGAGGGTACGGGGGGGCTTGCCTCTGTGTCTACTTTTCTTTTCCACATCACTTCACTTGGAATTATTTAAACTAGAGTTTAAATAGTTTAGCTGAACACGTGTGAACTAAACCACATGGAAGCGTATAGAAAAGGAAGCACAGAACAAAGTAAAAGAATTGTCTTGAACATTAAGAAAATCTAAACTTTTGATAGTTTTAAAGAGTTAAAACTTTCCTTGATATCGTTATAAATTTGACTTAACAGATGACACCCCACCCACCCCCCATCCCCACCCCTATTCAATCAGCAGACTGGTATAAAGAATATTAAACATTTACATGTAAAGGGCCTTTCCAGGCAGTGGAGAGGCAGCGAACAAAGCGGTGAAGCTGTGGTCTTATCATATTATCCCTGCCCTGCTCTTGTCCAGCCTCACCACACTCCCTTTGTTCCAGATGTCTTTTCATCTCCGTGCTGCTTTCAAGACATGCCAATTAACCTTTCAGCACTCTGGGTGGACATCTTGGTGTCTTTGTGGTGGCCTCCCCTCGGGGCCTTTGTGTTGTCTTGTCTGCGGACAGGCACATGGGCTCCTGTCTTTGTCCGCCGCTGCATTTCTGTCACTCTCACCGTCTCTCACAGTCTCTGGGTGTTTAATGTTTACGCCTCTCATCGCTTTGTAGGAAATCAAGCGCCACCTGTTGTTTCCGAGAAGTTCAGAATTGAGTTTTTTCATTACATTAATTTGTATAAAAATTACAGAATTAATGTTATTTTGTCAAACCCAGAGAAAAATGTGTGTTTTTTTTTCTGGGTAACATCTTACCTGTTGCCTTATACACCTCACCTCACTGTATGTATGTGTATAAGCCACAACGTTTCAGTTTCAACTCATCTGACCAAATGTTATGTTTCCGGTCCAGTGCGTGTCGTCCCGTCCTCAGCAGACTGCAGTCTGACTGAGACTTTTCAGTTTTCCTGGTTCTGTTTTTTTTATTTTTTTTTATTTTCAGGACTCTATTGCCAGCCCTTAAATTCAAGCCTGGATTTAATACAAGTGTCTTGGCAGTTAGTCAGAGGTTTTTGGACTCTGGGTAATACTGAGGAGTTATTGTTAAAATGATTAAATCTTGGGGCCGTAATAGTTTTATCTTTCTACTTTTGCCAACCAACCATTTAAACTCTTTGGAGGGCTGCTGTGAATAGATGTGTGTCCACTGTTGGTCTCTGAATTTGTTACTATTTATAGTAACAATAGACAATCATTAAATGGACCAATAAAAAATAACAGAGTGCAGTGTAATTAATAGCACCGTTGGTGATGCTTCTACAAATACAAGGGTTTAATCTTAGCGAGCCGGTGCTTACAGCAGACTGTGCGTGTGTATGTGTGTGTGTGTACGTGTGTGTGCGTGCTTGTCTCTCCTTTACACTTCTCCTTCTCCTTTCTTTCTTTTTAAGACACGCTGCTTTTCCTGCGTAATAAAAAAATGTGGCGGTAAAAACGCTCTTGTTAAGAGGGTCTGGGGAATTCTGCTTTTTGTTTTGGAGTTCTGTGTTTGACCTGTTGCTGGGGGCAACCGTAAACAAGGTTACCATGGTGACAGCTGGAGAGGAAGCACAAACATATCATGTGATTGAAGCCGCTGTGTAACAAGACCCAGCGGCAAGTTCAGGTCCTGCAGGAGAGTGAAAGGAGAGAACCTCTGAGCACGGCCCAAGTCAAACTCTTAAGATTTTTTTTCTTTCTCAGAAGTAGAGACGGACTTGACCGTTGACAGTTATCTGGAGTCAGGCTGCTGTTTCTGTTGGCCACGTGCACCACCGGGTTTACCCTTTCACTCTAAGTTGTCTTATCTAGTCGAACATCTTATGCACTAGGACAACCAGATGACTGTTTTTTGTCGATAAAATAAAGCGTAACCACACGCGTGTTAATTGCAACACACATGCTGGGTGCCGCTGATTCTGCCCTTTGAAAACTGCCAAGACACTTGTACTAGGAAACCCTGCCTTTCAAATGGGAAAGAGGAAGTAAGAAGGGTCAGTTGTGGTCAGCGCCTCCACCACGAAATGAGACAAATGCACGTAGAAGAACGTAAGAACGCTGTGCAGATTAAACTGCAGATGAGGCCCGGCGGTGCTCCTCAGGAACCTCCTGATGATTAATGTGCACGGAGCTGTGTTTGAGCTGGCTCATTGTCTAAGCGGGGAAGGGCCCAGAGTGAGCCAGAGGCTGCCTGCACAAACTTTGTTGTGTGTCTGGTTGCCATGGTTCAGCTCTCTCTGTTTTGTTCCCCCCCACCCCTTCTCCTCCCCTCTCCTCCTCCCTCCTTTGCTGCTCCACTGCAGGCCACTCTGGATGTGGTGATGAACCTCCAGTTCCACTACATTGAGAAACTGTGGCAGACTTTTTGGTATTCAACACCGCCATCTAGTGACGAAAATACGTCCATCAGCAACAGGTCAGAAGAGCTCAGGCTCGAAAAGGATTCTGATTTGACTGATTATTATTATTATATTATTATTAATATTATTGTATTTTTACAGTATTTAAGCCATTCACATTTAACATCTGTTGAGTTTCATCAGGCCGTCATTTCCAGGTGGCAGTTTTTCCACGGTTGTCATTTTTCTTTGTGCAGCGATGACGACATGGAAGGTGTGATTCCACAAGAGAAGCTGGTGGCGCTGTGTAAATATGAGCCGGTGCGACTGTGGATGAGGAGCTGTGACCACATTCTCTACCAGGCACTGGTGGAGATCCTCATCCCTGACGTCCTGCGTCCAGTTCCCAGTCAGTACCACCTTTTTTTTTATGTCACAACTTCTAAATCTCCAGTCTTGTAACGCTGACTCTCTCATTCGTCAGGCACTCTCACTCAGGCCATTCGTAACTTTGCCAAGAGTTTGGAGGGTTGGCTGACAAACGCCATGACCAGCTTCCCTCAGGAGATCGTCCGCACCAAGGTGACACAGGGCGTTTCACTTCACAGAGTTTTTGGAAATGTGTTTTTAACACATTTGTGTACAGTACTATTTCGCAGGGGTCTCAGGTCGTAGTGAATCCTGTCCTGAATCAGTTCTGTGTGATCTCTGCTCCTCAGGTGGCTGTGGTCAGCGCGTTTGCCCAGACTCTGAGACGTTACACCAGTCTGAACCATCTGGCCCAGGCGGCTCGTGCCGTCCTCCAGAACACCTCCCAGATCAACCAGATGCTCTCCGACCTCAACAGGGTGGACTTTGCTAATGTCCAGGTTAGTTGTTCCTCGGTCGTCCAGTTTATCTCAGTTTAACCCAGAGACGTTGACAACTCATCAATTCCAAGTCAGGTCTTATGTCCAGACCTGAGCCCTGTTCTCTGCTGAGTTGTGTTTGTGTGTGTCCAACAGGAACAGGCGTCCTGGGTGTGTCAGTGTGACGAGAGCGTGGTCCAGCGTCTGGAGCAGGACTTTAAGGTCACCCTGCAGCAGCAGAGCTCTCTAGATCAGTGGGCGACCTGGCTGGACAACGTGGTGACTCAGGTCCTGAAGCCACACCAGGGCAGCCCCAGCTTCCCCAAAGCTGCGCGACAGTTCCTGCTCAAATGGTCTTTCTACAGGTGGATGAACATGTCCAGCCTCTTCAGTCAGGTCTATGTCTGAATAGAAATGGTTCTGAAGAACATTTCCTGTCGTCCTCTCTCTCCTCCACGCAGCTCCATGGTGATCAGAGACCTGACCCTGAGGAGCGCAGCCAGTTTCGGCTCCTTCCACCTGATTCGTCTCCTGTACGATGAGTACATGTTTTATCTGGTGGAGCATCGTGTGGCTCAGGCCACAGGAGAAACTCCTATTGCCGTCATGGGAGAGGTGATTCATAAAATATGTATAAATATCAAAGCAGTGAGTGAGATGAAGTGGAGACTTTGTTTTGTTAATTATTTTGTTCCCTCTAAATTACAGTTCAGTGACTTGACGTCTCTGATGCCTTCACTGCTGGAAAAAGGTAGGTTCTTAGTTTTACTAACTATTACTACTAATTAAAATATATTCATAAAAAAAAATCTCAAACAGATGAAATATTTTTTATTATCCTGCCTAATTTGTTTTAAGAAATTTGTGACAAACTTTCCTTTTGCATTAGTTTGTATTTATACCAGTGACCAGTGAAGGCAGCGTTACTGCTGGTCAACACAGCACCATGTGTTTCCTGTGGCTTGTTGAATAAGACTCAGGGGATTATTTGTAGTATTTCCTTTAAGGAGAGGGGGTTCTACTCACCATGAGTCACCCACCTGCTTCATTTAAAGATAAACTCAACCCCTTCCTGTCGTCTCCTCCTCCAGATTCCTCCTTCTCTGATGAGCTGAGCGACATGGGCAGCGACGCCGACCGGTCCAGAGGACCAACTGAACCAGCTGTGAAGAGAGAGAGGATTGAAATGAGTCACCCGCTGCAGGAAATGTGAGTCCATCAGTCACACAGCCACAAAGACCAGCATCTCCTGAGCTGAGCCCACAGTGGATCTGAGGAGACCCTGTGGGACCCGGTGGCCTTTTCTTCTTCTTCTTCTTTCTGCAGTCTGTGTGTGCAGTGTACATAGGAAGTAGCATCATCAGCTCTCTGCTCATTAGTGAATTACTTCCCAGGAAGATCACGTTTTTTTTTTTACTCACAGAGGTTTAACACCAGCCTGAGTCTTTATTTTTTTTGTGTTGCAACTGTGAAAGAATTTGTGCAGTACATTTTATGGGGTGTGTGTATCACGGGTTTGGGTGTTTGTGGGTTTTTTATTTTTTTATTTTGTTTGTTTGTTTCTCTCCTGGATTTCCACTAGCTGTGCCATAGTGTCATTTGAGTGCCTTAGATCGCTGTGTTTTTATCACCACTGCAGACGTCGCCCTCTCTCTCTCTCTCTCTCTGTCTCTGTCTCCCTCAGCTGTGCCTCAACCGCAGTATGAATGTAACGTCTCCAAACCTCAGACATTCAAAGCACCTTTAACATTGTTGACACCTAGGTGTGTGAATCCTCGTTGCCTCTGCTGCAGCTCGCAGCAAATATAGAAAAATGAGAACAAAAAAAAGGGTAAACATGCAACCTACTGACCCAAAGGACCTCTCCCTCAGTTCATCCCAGCAGGGTCCCTCAGTGGCGCCACCCTCAGTCTCACAGTAGAGAACACAGGTAACGTTCAGTAACCTCAGCTGCGTTAGTTTCTTATACCTCAGTAGATTCTATGCTTGGCTCCGGTTCTGCTCAGACGACACAAGGCGAGTGTTAAATAACAAAACGATGATGTAGCCACTGTTGAAGTTTGTGTCCCTCGGCCCGGTTTCTGGCTTTGGTGTCTGTCCGCTAAATTATTTTAAAGGAGAACTGCTGTCAAAGGTCAAATCATTTTAGCAGACATTAGTCAAGTCCTAAATTATGGGCTGCACCCTAGAGGAGCTGCATACGTATTCTGGACGTTGTAAAATGATATTACAAAATTACTACTACAAAAATGCATCATGGTGATTACTGATACTTACCCATTTTCCCTTCTATCTGTCACACCAGCGCGTTAGTCATATCTGTTCAAATATACATCAAGAAGAGGGAAAAAAACAAAACAAACAATCACAATGATCTATAAATCAAACTCAACTTTGGAACTTTTTTTATTATTTACTAAACTACTAAACTTGACTATCACATCAAAACAATTCCACCAGCTCTGGGGGAAGATGAAGCTCCAGCTCCGTCTTCTCCTCAGATGGACGGTCGTCAGATTCACCTTCACCATCAGTTCCAGTTGGACCGTCACTGTTTTTGGTTCCGTACTTAATAAATATCCCATCACATAAATAATCAGCAGTAAAGCTCGGTCGTTTTGGTCACATTCACATTCAGTGTAGTCTTCAGTGTAGACAGTGCCCTCCTGTGGCCATAGATGATGGATTGAGGAGTGGCCCAACTACTTACCAGCAGCTCGACCTGTAGTCTGGAAAATACAGTATCTGCAAATCTAAATTTGTAGGGTAAAGATGTTTTTATTTAACTTATTTAACTTATAATTCCAATCAACATACTTACAGAGGCTAAAGCTAAAGTAGCTATAAAAAAACCCCAATACAAACACAGAGCTGTTAGGCAACATTACCAACTCCTACTCTCTGGTGCAGCCTCTGAAAATCTTCTCTCTGACATTTCTAACATGTGCAGACCTGTAGTCTCTCAGTCAGCGGAGCATGAGACAGAAACCAAAAAACAGTAAACTGGACATGGGATCAAACCTCGACTGGTTTATGTTGGTTCCGTCATCTGAGCTGACACATGGTTCCACCTTCAAGGACCGTACTTTAACCTCATGATGTTACGCAGATAAAGTCTTATGTTCTGTTTGAAATAGATGTCGTACAATATTTGGGAGATTTGTCCAAAATAACTGCTAAATATATACATATAAATATATTATCTTTATATGGTGTAGAATGTGTGTGTGTGTGGTCTGTGGCCTTTAACCTTTGCCTAATCTCTCACTTTCTCTCCCTCTCCCCACACACACTCTGGTTTGTATCTCAGTGTCAGACCTTCAAATATTTACTGTGTTGCTTCTCACACAGAGTAAGCTGTAAAACTGTCACCAGAGATTTCTATTTATATAAACTCTTCTAAATGAACCCGGTGTTTAACCTGCTTTATTACTTTCATTCTCCCCTCAGACGGTTTTGTTGTAGCGATGAGAAAATCTCCATTTATTTAAATTTTTTTTGTTTTTGGTAACTTCTTGTCCGTCACAGTAATTTGCCTTCAAGTGCTATTTTGTGCTATTTTTGGGGGGGGGGGGGGGAGTAATTTTTATATGTGTACATTGTAATGTTTTGTAAGGCTGTTTTAGATTTTTGGCAATTTTTTATTAAACTAGATTTAATTTCTCTCACAAGTATAATAAACAATTATTTTTGTGTATTTTTAAACCTGTTCTTGACTACACTTTCGTTAGCCAAAGGACAGACGACGATGATGATAATGATGGCCTGTAATAAACTGCATAGTTGAGCTGTATTTTGTACTTGGTTACAACGTGTTATAATAATAAACTGGTGTAAACCACAGATGGTTACAGCACAGGTATTCATTTATTATTATTATTATTTGTTTTTCTATCAAATATTAACGCCACAAAACCTCCCACAGGAACACGGGCAGACGTACAAACACCGTCTCTGACGGAACCATCCTACTGTATTTACAGAAATTAAAAATGATCCACATTCAGGAACAAGCTCTTCACTTCAATCATGTTTGTTTCGGAGGAAACGTTCTGACCACAACCTTTTAACCAGTTTTCTTCCCCAGAAGAAACACATCACAATATGAAGAGAGAAGGGTCTCAGAGATGGGGTACAGAAGAGGCTTAAATTGAGACGAAGAAGAAGAAGAAGAAAGACTTGGTCCTCATCAACAGGGCACCTCAGGGGGTTAAGAGCACACAGTCTGTCAAGGCTGAACTAAACCCACAGAGAAAGAGTCATTTCAGTTATGGGGTGTTTTTTTTTTTTTCTCCTGTTATGAGCGATCAGTGTCCGACCCTGGACCCAGATCTGGAAAAGTGCGTCACTGAGGCTGCATCACAGGGAGCAGCCGGCCATGTACTTCCCTGAGAGAAGAGGACAGAGATGAAAGTGTGAAAAGAAGAGAACAGCAGTGATGCATTCACTGTCCCCGGGAAAACGTTTTATCGCAATACTCTGCACTAGGTTAATTCTATCACATTTGGTTGACACACTTTTATCTTCTTCTGTTCTGCTGTTGCCCTCTACAGGGGCAAGTATTTATTATCAGTATTCTATAAAACTGAGACACTGTGAACTGTATACAGTGAATCTGTGTACATTTTTACCTGTAGCAAATCTCTTCTTGACCAGAGACATACGATACCGGCTGCCCACCAGCTCCACATCCATGCCCGACAGCGAGGCCCCAGAGCCCACGAACTGGACGGCCAGGCTGGGTGGGGGGCCTCGGGGAACCTCCAGGCACTGCCAGCTGGCACACAGGGTCCCTGAGCCTGGGCACAGGCCACAGGCAGAGACACAGATAGACAGAGTCAGAGTCTGGGTATCACAGCAGGGACACTGGCTGATGAATAGTTAATAGTGACAGACAAGGTCACAGTGAAGTGGGCTGCAGCCCCTCGTCCTGTCAACACTGCAAACACATCATCTGTTTACTCTGAACAACAGCTCATTGGGGTGTCTGAGTGTGGGATTAGTTTGTTGACAGTGACAGAGAAACAGACAGAAGAAGAACAGGAGTGAAGGAAGACAGACCAGAAGAAGAACTTCTCGTCTTAGACTACGTTCAGTTTTTTGGTACATGACCTGTATCTCGACCTCGTTTTTTTTTTTTTTTGACATCACAAACACCGGGACCACATCAATGAGACCCTACATTGGACAAATATCCAATGTTTTTTCCAGAGCGACCTCAGTCTGAACAGTCTAGGTGCAAAAGCTCTGCTCACTTTCTGTTCAGCCGACTGCAGAAAAAAAAACATCCTTAGTTCAATGGTATATTGTTGTATATTTTGTCAGAGCCTGTGTTCATCTCTACGTGACCTTTGAGTGAACGTTAGAGGCGTTTGTTGTTTTTCTGCTTCGTTTCCTGCTCGCTCCAAAATGGTAAAAAAAATAACGTCATTGTCCTCAGCACAGCCAGACACTGTTCGTGATGTAAAGCTGCGGCTGAAGACAATGCAAAGGAAGTCAGTTTGACCTTTCAGGGGATTTAATGGCTCCTAGTGTAAATGTTCATTCATCACTGAGTGGCTGCTGTGTGAGGTTGTTCTGTCTCCTCTGTTCTTCATCACTGAAACAATGACACGTGAAGGTGAACAGAAACCGTTGTAGGTGTGAGGGGAAACAGAAACTGGAGACTCCTGTCTGGTACATTAACACTACAGTCATAAAACGTAAATGTGACTCATTCTTATGAAACATTAACAACGACCAAACTGACTCATAACCTACGAGGTAAACTTCTGGTTTGTCTTTATAACTCTAACTAACTCGGTTCAGCTCCTCCACCTCCTTCCTTTTCAGATTCACCTCCACCAGACTGATGAAGTTTAAAACACTAACGTTACAGTCGACGAGCGACGACACGTCTCCAGATTATAGACACACGAGAAGAACAGAGAACAGGGTGAGACTGAGAATTTAGATAAAGAAATAAATAAGGAAACCATATATATATATATTCAGCTACTGAAGAGGTGAGTGTGGACCTGTCTGACAGCACAGAGGTGGAGAGACAGGACAGCAGGGCGACTGACCTTTACTGTGGTTGGTCGGTGAGAGGTTGGAGAGTTTCCACAGCAGCCGCCGTTCTTCAGTGTTCCTGTCCGAGAGGGAGAGAGTCAGTAATGTAATGTAAAAATCTGTCATTTTACTGTTGAAGTTGCAAAGACGATAAAAGGACGACAGACAGACGGTGATAACAGAAACACAGAGACATCAGTGAAGGATCTGCATTAAAGGGTTGTTAAAAAGCACAAGTAAAATCAATGCATATTAGATCTTCAGAAGTACAATGAGTGCTTTTATTATAACTTCATATTGTTATGTATTGGTTATTGTAATAAAAAGAAGTACAATGAGTGCTTTTATTATAACTGTTTTTTCATATTGTTATGAAAATAAAAACACATTTCCAAACCACTATTCTCATCAATAAACCCAAATTATCTTATAAATATTTCATTTCAGTATATACTCAATAGTCTTTAATCTATTTTTAACCATATGAAAAAAAATATAATCTTTAAAGAAAAATAATATTGACATTCCTGTGTATTTTGCAGTGTTTCTCAGACAACCAATAATAATCTACTACTCAGTGATCTGTAGATAAACACTTGAATTAAAGAGGTTTTACTCAGAGCCACACACACACACATTTTATAAGTGTCTTCAAATTCTTAATGTGGCCAATCTCTCTCTTTCTGAAGCGGTAGTCTGACTTAAATAATCCACTGGATTACACTGTTTATGTAAATCCCTGCGTCCTGACAGTCGGCATCATTTCTCCTGCACCGTCAGTATTTACCAGGTGGCTGGAGGCTGACACTGCAGGTCAGTGGCAGTGTGGTCCAGCGGCAGCAGCACCTGGACTGCAGTGAGTTGGGTGGAGGGAGCGGTGGCGGGGCAGCAGTGATAATCCAGGGAGACTCGAGTCACCGTGCCGCTGCGCTGGCACTCGGCCGACAGCAGGAGAGGAGCCCGGCCTGGATCCTGAGAGGAAACCTGTGGCAGGGACAAGGACTAGAAGCTGTCGCTGGAGGTCGATGACAGTAAGTTAAAAGTAGGATTAGTCGACTGACGACTATTCTGATCAGTGGACAGTGTTTGTGGCGCAGCACCACAACAGAGTCCCCCCCCCGGCCCCCGCCGAAAGGATCATTAACGTATTTCTGATTTGGATTTCAAAACACTGACCTGATACTTAATCAGTCCAATGTTGTAGTACGAGGCCTGAGGGTTGAGCTCAGCTTCTCTCTGCAGATAGACCTGTAGAGCCTGCATGTTGAACCAGAAGTCCCTGGTGTCGGGGTCACTCTGAGATGGATCACTGTGGAGAAGAGGAGGAGTCGGGTTCACACACAGGAGACGAGAGGTTTGTCCTGTGACGACGGTCGACAGAGACAGACCTGAAGAGCAGCGACGGATTGGGCAGGAAGTGATCTATCTTTGAGATGTTGACCAATCTGAAGCTGAGGACAGGAACGTTGGGGTTGGCTGTGAAAATCCTGGTGATGCCGGCTGGGAAGGACATGGTCAGGTCGCCCGTGATTTTCACCAGACATCTGCAGAAGAAGAGGGAAAACAGGAAAGTGGTTGACGACAGAGTCAACGTGATTATGAGGATCACCGAGTGTCAACATCAGGTCCACACAGACAGACAGACAGACTGACCGGTTGTGTTGTCCACCTTTGAAGTAGGCGTTGACGTACTCGGTTATGGCTGCTGCCACAGGCCACGCCTCCTGTGTGCTCAGAGAAATGGGACTGGGCCCTCTGGACACGTGCACTGTGAGGAGCAGAGGTGAGGATTCTGGTTCAGTCAACAGTTAGTGACGACTTTTTATTTCATTATCACAAATACAAAACTTGATCAGATGTAAGAATAATGCACAGAGAATCCAAATCTGAGTGTCGTTACCACTGAACCGTACATGGTCTCTGTTGAAGCTCCTGCTGCTGGTAGGGAAGAGGTGACGTTTGTCCCATCCTGGCTGGACTCGGAGCTCGGTTTGGACCCCCCCAGTCACTGTCCCTAGCCTGAGGTGCCCACTCGCTAGGACTGGAGGAGGAGGAGGAGGTGAGGGAAGGCGAGGGCTCAGGTAGAGGGGAGGAGCACAGGGACCGAGACTGAGAAACATGGAGACAGTTTTGAAACATTTGCATCAGAAAGCATTTG